TCTCTCTCTCTCTCTCTCTCTCTCTCTGTATATGCAGGTAGAAAATAGATGCGAAGAATCGATGAAGCTTAATCCAGTCGTTGAAATCTTAACTATCCAATCGATAAAACTCGTCGTAGCCCCGTATATAAGTGACATCGGGAGACGGATATGTAACTTAACTATCTCGCACAAATTGGAAGGAAATACAATCGTTTACAAAAGAAAACAATAACGCTCGTGTGAGTTCGTGAGAACTCGCGTACGTGTTCAAAGGATTGGTTAAAAAATCGCTCATTAAGTTGAAACAATTTTGACAAATGTAATTTAACAAATAATCTTGACTCGACAATAACAAATCAACGGCAAATATATTTTTGTTCTCCGACATTTATTGTCAAAAAGAGACATGTTCATACTTATCACTCGTAAATTCTTGGTCTTTCTTACTCTCCGCTTTCTCTCTTTTTTTTTTGCCATCCTTTCTTTTTCTCAACTATATTTTTCGATGTATTTCTTAGAAAATATTTTTGACATAATTTTGATATTCTAAAAATTGCATGTATACTGCACAAAATAGTTACATAGCTATAAGTTATAACTTTATTATTAAACATAGGTATATAAATATTATTTTTAAAAGATCCTAATTCTTAGCAAAAATAGGAATGTTTTACAATTAAACAATCGATATTAGACGGATTAAAATTATAACAGGAATATATACTCGCTATAAACATACAAACGTATCTTAAACACTATTTTTTGATTAATAATGAATTTTGGCTATTGAAGCAGTAACACTGTTGTTGGAGTGTATATATTAAAATCCGTTTATTAACAATTAATAGTAAATAGCACGAACGCTTTCGACCCTTGTATCAGGTCCTTTTCAAATACATTTAAATTTCTTAGATAGAAAATATTTTTTGATGTTATTTTAGATTATTGCACAAAGGCAGATTGTTAACTCTTAACACGTGGGATAAAAACTTCACCCGTTCAAAACGCGCAGCATAGAAAGTGGAACAATTAATTGAATTAAAATCGCAAATTTACTCGTTCAAAAGTAAAAAAAATTAAACGTTGTATGAAATTATCAGGTTCCAATTGAACTAGTCCGATGTGTCTAAGAGAAAACACGTTGTGAAATCGCAGCGAGCCAATTAAATCAGAGAATTAATAGTACTTACGCGTGGTATAAAACATGGATTAAAAAAAAGTTTAATCTTATCGCTGAACACAGTACCATAGATTGAATATCGCGACTTTCCACAATGGGGGGAAGATAGCACGATGCCCTCAAGCATATTGACCTAATGAGTCCGTCATCGCATTTGCGCGGCAATTACACCTCGTCCCCTTTGCCGCCTTCGGTGCTTCCATTTTCTCGACGTTAATTCGAGGACCGATCGGACGAGCATCGGATATATTATAATCTACAGCGAATCTTTCGATGGGGAACCCTCCTACTCCTGCCCCTTCTCCCGTAGTGTATCACCGAGCGATACGCGGTGGTATATTACCGGGCGGAGGACAGTGTGGGGAAAAACAGGTCAGGGGGAGAGGAAGAAGGCGGGCGGGTGTGGAAAGGAGGCAACGTAGAGAAACGAGCACGCGGTAGAGAGGGAAGTGCGATGGACACTCGGAGAGAAGAAGAAAGAGCAGCCCGGAGTGGGAAGTGAGAAAACGCTGTGGCAGATCGGGAAGAGCGCAGGCGAGAATGGGAAGGGAACCAATCGTCGCGACGACTTGGGCCAACATAAGCGCGCCGACGTATGTGTGGAATGTGTATAAACGCTTCGCGCATGTATGGGTCGGTCGAAATCGGAGAGACACGACTGAACGCAACCTCCTATAGCAAAGGCTACATATACGTACACACAGCCAACCTATACGCGGCGCTTCAATTCACGGACATCGACCGCGCGATATCCGTGTGCGACGGTGTGACATGGTTGTGTGTGTAGCAGAGACAAGAAGGAACGCGATAAAACGACAGAGAGAGAGAGAGAGAGACCCCCCCAGGGGGGTAGCGCAACGCATGCGCTGTTATGCAACGACGGCGCAATGCGCCGATCCGTACCGGCCAGGCCAATTCCTCTGTGGCAGCCCGAATCATTAACTTGTTTCCCTGGCAACCCGGCACGACCCACACCATTGGCTGGCTCGTTTCTCCCACCCGTGCGCCCCCACGCTCTGTCGGTCAGATGGCAAACTACAGACGCAAGATACGCTTCATCATCCGTAACGCAGCATAGAAACGTGAACTATAGAACGACACCCCTTCTCTTCCGACCAACTCGCCCTTGCCGAGCAACGTACACAGAGATATATACGCACGCCACACACGTACAAAATGAAAACGTCGTTTCCTCGCACGAACGTTACACAGAGATCTCGGATTGGTACAACTGTGACTCTTCCTACCCTGTGCGCGATACGTCCTACCATCGCCCCTCGCGTCGAAATCCAAGACCGGTATTGGGAGATGAACGATAAATCGGTTATACTTTGTGTGTTGGCGTGGTTCCTTCTCTTTTTTTTTTTTTCAGCTTTCGTTTTGCCAGAAATTCCACTAAGGCGGAATCAACGCCGCGTGGGATCAAATTGTATAGTCGAGATTTTTTAATCAACAATATTTTTTTTTTTTTTTTTTATCGAGAGTGCAAGTGAAATCGCGAAATAATATCACTCTGAAAATAAAATAATCAAAATATTTTACAAAAATGAGATTTATCATAATTTATGTTATTATGTCAGAAAATAAAAAATTTCAAGAGTAAGGAAGAGTTTTGAGAGCTATGGTGTTGACTGCCGAAATAAGAGTCTACGTCCTTGATCCACGTGAAAACGAAATCCCCCGCCTCGGGCGGAATGAGATACATTAAATATGGAACCCCGGCATCAAAACTGGAACTTTCCTCACCGTGGCAGAAGCACCACGATATATATATACTTTACGTCAAAAATTTGAATGCTTGTTTTTGTTTTTGTATACGTCATCGTAAGGAAAAAAAAATATGAACATCCAAATATAATGTAATGGAAAAAGATTACCACAAGAGAATAATAAACCAATCGTATACGGCAGCTCTTGCGGAGTTCCGAGCCGGGAAACATAAACTCAGCTTAGAGACAGTTGGGTCAGGGCCGTACTACGTCTCTACAGGCATTCGGGTGTTTTCAGCTACGTTCACGAAATATCAAAATGAACACATTTTTATGTTTATAGTGTTATTATTATTACTTTACATACTGTATATATTTTTTCTTAAACATGAATTAACACACATATATATATATATAATTTAATAACTCAGACAAAATAAAAAAAAAAGTTTATTTTTTTAGATACTGCAAATTAAACGTAAGAGTTTAAAACTATCAAATATTTAAATTTAGTGCAAATTGTGGAACATATTGTATAAAATCATGTGCACGCATAGATTAATTAGATATACTACAAATTTTGTTTTATATATATTTAAAAATATATAAAAGAGAACAGAGATTTAGAAACACAGCATTGTGATTTTTTTATATACAAAGAACACATTATGTCGGAGAAAGTACAAAACTCGAAAATTTATTTTATTCATAGCATCTACCTTTTTTAAGACTTATTTTTCCGAAGAAAAATAAGCACGTCATTATAGGTGTCCGTGAAATACCGATAGAGCGACTACAGCCAGAAGCATTAATCATTAGGTCCGTTCTCGTACCCTACTGTGTCCAACTTCAACTACTAAAACGAACAACCCAAAACGAAATAGGGATACACGAACTCCAGGTTAAATTCTGAACATTTTATATAGATAATAGCGCATTTTTCTTTTCTGCGATAAATCTAGAAACATTAACATTTTGGAACTTAAGATAATTCTCTTTGTTCAGAATTTTGTGTGTGTGTGTGTGTTTGTATACAGATTCTTTAAGATAACATTTTCTATGCATACCACACGTATCTTTCGTGTAACACGAAATTTGTTACAACATAGAAGGATAAAAATTGAAAGAAGAAGATAAATATATATATATATTAATTATTTATATGAACATAAAAAATATTTACGTATTCTCTACATGTATATTGATTATTATGTACAGTTTATAATTAAAACTATTAATCATCAACTCTGAGCTGTTTACAAATTATGTGAATTAGTGTGGTATAAGAACAATTTCTCTTATTATTTGTTTTTTGTTAACATGACAAATATACGTTACGTACGCACGCGCGCTCTACTTCTTGATTAAATAAAATGTTTTATATTTGTTTTGTTATATCTCTATATTGTATAGAATTGAAAATCTTTTACATTCAAAGAGTGACAAAATGAATATTAATATCATCAAGCGATAATTAACATACATATATAAAGTACATACAACACATTATTTTATAACACTACTATATATTGCAATATATAATTATTAATGCGTATATTATTAATATATAATTAACATGTACAATAAAACCAATTTTCAAAAAAGTAGAATAAAAATATACAAACGCAAGTAAATATTAACAATAATTACAATATTATTAACAATAATTACAATATTATTCAAAACTCGCGTTTAAAAAGAAAAGCTTGAGGAAATTTAATTCTTGTCATGCTATAAAACGGAATAAAATCAGGGCGCTTCGAAACGTGTATACGTTCTTGCCCAAGTATAAGCTATGCCGTGAAATATGGCACGAACTATAGGGCCGTGTACATATAAGACCGGCAAGTGGTATGCGTGAATACGATAGGACGCGGCAAGAGGAAGGCGACGGGAAGCGAGAGGGGAGAGAAGCTAAAGTACCGTTAGTGAGCATGCGCGGTATTCGATGGCTCCGCCTTTCCCGACGCGAACGATGCCTTTGGGATTTGTCCCCGTCGAACCAATCAGCGTAAGCGACAGGGAAATGTGCGGCGCGCGGCGAGAGGGACGCGCCGGGAAGGGATGGCGGCTTCGGAGACGCGCGGGTAAAAAGAGGTACCTTAGTTTGAAGCAGGGAGGTAGTCGACATCAGTAATAGCGGCGACGGGTAAACGAGTATCGGGAGTGCTTGCATACGCGAGATCTCGTGACTTAACGAGAGTTCACGAGAGTTTCTCTCCAAATAACGTTTGGAGTGAACCAAAAAAAAATATATATACAGTGACGATTAAGAAAAAAGTGCCGACACGCTGTTGGCGTGGTATATACACCGTGTGACAGACAGTAGGGGGTAGTGCAAGATTGTGTGTGTGTATACACACACATATACACGCACACGCGCCGCTTCACATACATACAAGCAAGCTGCTACAGGAAACGTGCACATAGGTGTGACTGCGCAGTCGCCATGTGAGTACCTGGATGAAAACGTAGGTATCCCGTGTGAAAGCCTCTCTCGGCGACGTCGTTGTTGAGAAAAAAAAGTGTATCCGCTTTTTTTTTCTCTATTGTGCTATATACGCGGCTCTCCGGGAGAGAGAGAGTTAGTTTCGCTGAGCGAAACGCGCCCCAGTCGCTGCGTCAATGCCGATGACAATCTCCGCGGAGAGAGAGATTCTCTCGCGGAGGTGATTCCTCGACACGGCGCAAGACAGCGTTGCTAGATATATATATATATATATGTATATGTGCACGCGTTCCGTCCTTATCCTTCTGGCTGTCGCCATCTCCTTTTCGTGGCTCCCCCTTTTTCCGCTTCGCTCGACTCCCTCTCTTGCACACACACACACACACACACTCGTTCCGTCATTTCTCCGAACACAGAGAGTGCTTTTATTTTGTAATCCAATATGTCGACGTACGCGAGACGCCACTGTCTCGGAATCGTATGGAAAAACGGACTCTGACGACGACGACGACGACGAAACGACCACCGGGTATATGCGTGCGTGCATGCAGACGCCAGCGTTGTATCGTTTTTATCGGCGCGTTAGTGTGAGAGCGTGTTTCGCGGTGGCGTCTGGCGTTCCGAAGGAAAGAGCCAACTCCATTCTCGCAACGAAGGACAGAGTCGCTCTCTCTCTCTCTCTCTCTCGCATGTGTTATTGTTATACTATCCGTCACTGGGTCTACAATACATTGGCATTATGGCGAGAGAGATTCATGTGTCAGCCCATATCAGCCGTCCCCCTGGCACAGTTGTTGTTCCCTCACTCTTTTCTCTATATCGCACTCCTCTCTCTCTCTCTCTCTCTCCCATCTCCCTCTTCTTGGTCTCTTTTTCTTTTCCACCACCTCTCCTTCTTTCCAACCCGCCTTTCAATCGTATTTCCCGCTCTGTCGGTCGAATATCTCGGCCCTCTTTTCTTCCCCCCCCCTCACCCCCACCTTGTCAACGCGGCACTAATTATGGTAGCTATATTAGCTGGGGCGACATTTTGTTCGTTGTGCGCGCGCGCGCGCGCGCAACACGCACGCACGCACGCACGCACGCATGCACGCACGCACGCACATGCCAAGATGGATATGGCGTCGGAGTTTCGCACTGGATCGATATCCGCGCGATGGTTTTTTTATACAAAAGATGAAAAAGTTAGAAACATAAAGTTCTACTTTACCATGCGAGTATAAAAGTGGCACATTTGCGGAAAATCACTTTTTTTTTTTTTTTTTTCAAATTCTTTTTCTTCGAAACGCAACATTCCTATTTTAACAAGATATGTATAAGGCCTTACGAGCCATTCTTCAAGATGTTTTGAGTAGAAACTTGTACGTGTATATATATACATACACATGTAACGAATTCAACTTGTAAATTTTTTACGAGTGTTTTTTTTTTTTTTTTGAGTTGAAAACTATTCCTATTTCACTTGTTTTCCGCCAAAAAAGATAGTTTCGGCGTTTATAAAAGTTTCTTAAGTATCACGAAGATATGTTTGAGAAGAGTACGAGGTGTTTATCTCCTTTAAATTTCTTTTTGCACACGTTGGAGCGTATTTTCAATTTTACTTCAAAAATTTGCACTTGGTTTTTGTCAAACAAAAATTCGGAAACGTACGAAATTGTTTTCTTATATTTTTAATTAGTTTATAAAAATAGAAGAATATAAATTTTCGTTTTAAATATTCGGGAATTCGAAACAAATAAGATACCTTTGTTCGGTTTGTAGAAAAAAAAAAAAAAACTCGTCAAGTTTATCAAAAAAAATATGTGTACATATTGTGCGCGTGTGTGTAACAATTCAAGTTTTGCTTTGCAAAAAATTGTGGTTGTGCAAAAACGCGTTTGAAGTTAGGTTAGGTTGGATTAAACAAATTTGTAAAATTTAATTTTTGCAGAAATACACAAGAAATTGATTCGAATTGCTTCGATAGGTTTTTCCAAACATCGCGTTACGTTCGCGGAGCTTAATAAAAAAAAGAAAAAAATTGATAAAAAAAAATTACTACTTCCTCTGTGTAATAAACTTCGGATGACACGTAATAAAATATCTCTCCGTTGAGACGCTCGGCCGGTTATCTTTATCGCGTTGCTAACATATGATGAACTTTTGGAATAAATAACTTGCCGTTACATACGATGATATCTTGAAGTGTATTAGATAATATTAATTTGGGGTCTCCAACGCGTTCATACATTGTAACATCACATAACCTAAATGGAATTTTAATCTTATCGTTTAACTGTTTCAATAAAGTCGTGAAAGAAATATATATATCTTGTTGATGTTAATAAAAATAATATTCGGTCTGGAAAATGATAATAAGATTCTTCTTGCGAAGAGCTTGCAAAAAATGATCGAGTGTCATTGGGAGCGTCGAGAAAATTCTATTGTTTCGCGTCTATCACGCTACGTGCGAACTATACAAGAATTTTTATACCGTACACGCGTTTTTCTTTGTACAATAGAGAAAGGGCGAGAAAAAAAAAAACCGATTATTTTTGAGAAACTTACTTTTTTGTCAGACCTGGGAAGAATTCCCGCGAAACTGTAACTGAGATAAACTATGAGGCACAACAGCACACTTCACTCTCGAACATCGGCGCGATAATCTCGTCGAATTCGGATCCGCAATGACGAGAGATGCGTGTCATATCTGAGAAGGTTATGATGCGGGCGGCAACATAAAGAATTTTGTGTTTTTAATGGCTTCTTCGTACTTTGCGTTTTAAAAAAAAAATTTTATTTTATTTAATTACAAAAAAATAGATATTTAATATATATATCAGTATTTTAATTGATATAAAAATTAAATAAATAGTATAACCAAGAAGAAGAGATTGTAATTATAGGTTGTGTAGCTTGTATATATATGCGACACACTTCTCTCAGTGTATGTGTATATATATATATATATATATGTACATGCATACACATGTCAATAGACGCAAACACACACGCTTAGAATTTTAGCAGAAACAAATAGAAATTTGCATAAACATATGTCTGATACGTAAAATTTTAATTACTAGGTTTTATTGTTTTTTTTTATCGGGTGCTTTGCTCTGTGTATGTTGCAGATGCAGTAGGACTAGAAGAGTGATACTAGGCACATTTATAAGATGGCAAGAAAAAAGGGCCTATTAATTGTTGAATATTTTCAGTAAAATATTTTGATAGAAAGCGTATATTTTGATTTTATAAGGGCATAAGAAAACATGACAGATGTTAAGCCAATTGGAATTTCGCCGTCTCAAACACAACAGCAATCAACACCAGCACCAGCACCATCAGCACCACCGCCTTCATCAACACCACAGCAACAGCAACAACAGTCACAGCAACAACCTCAACAACAGCAAATGATGATTACTACTCAGGAGTTACAACAGAACGTTCAGCAGTCACAGCAACATGTACAGCAACAACAAGTTCAACAACAATCTCAGCAAGTGCAACAACAACAACAGGTTCAGCAGCAACAGGTTCAGTCGCAACAGCAAATACAAGTGCAGCAACAGGTTCAGCAGCAGCAGCAACAACAATCCCAACAGCAACAGCAAAATAATGGAGCGCACAGTGTTGTTCCTACTCAAGTTCAAGTTCAACCACAAGTAGCTGCAAGTATGCCACAAGTAGCTGCAAGTATGCCACAAGTAGCTGCGAGTATGCCGCAAGTAGCTGCAAGCATGCCACAACAAGTAACTATCTTTCTTACTTAATTGAATATTTCATATTTTTGTATATCTTTTTTGTTTTATATTTTATATTAAAAATCAGACTTTCTTTGAATTACTTTTAAATTTATACATTTTTTCTTGTTATTACAAAAGTTGCAGGGTGCTGTTGCAGTATCGATGCAGCATCAACAGCAGCAAGGAGTAGGTGGTGTGTCTATGACATTGTCTGGTCAACAGGGTGCAACCACCATAACCACTATGGCTGCGCACCCACAAGCCGTCCAAGTAATTCAACAGCCATTACAAAGTCAAGCTTATCACTTGCAACAATTATACAATACTCAAGGCACGCCATTATTGATGCCAGGAAATCTTGCGCTCCATCCTGCAGGCATAAATCCCTCTTCCATTCAGGTAAAAAGTCTTCTTAATCTCTTGCTATATAAAAAAAAACTTACATAATCAAGAACCCATAATCTATGTTAAAAAAAAAAAACATATCTATGTCTAAAAACAATATGTTTATTAAAAGAGTAATCCATTCTATATATACATTGAGATATTTTTATCAATAACTATTTTGTACTTTACAGAGAAAATAATGCATGTCTTTATAGGTGATAACAGCTGGAAAGCCGTTTCAATCTGCAGCTCAGTTGACTCCTCACATGCTAACAACAGCATCGAATCCTGGACAAGGCGGTGGTCATCCCGGTGCGGGTGGTAAAGTCCAAGGATTTCCTGCCGGCTATTTACCAGTACCTACGTCAAATCCTGGCGCAGATCAGACGCTAGTGTTCGGTCAGCTTGGTGTATTAGGTTCCCCACAACCACAACAGTTGCAACAACAGCAAGCGCAACAATCTGCTGCTAAACAAGATCAGGTGCAAAAGGTGATCATAGTAAAGACGCATTTGTTCCACGATATTGGGATATCACATTTTATTTTTTGATTATTTTTATATCATAATTTTAAATAAATGATTTATTGTATTCGAATATAGTATACAACGTGCGCCGGTGGGACACCTTCAGGCGCAAGAAATGCTGGTATGCAATTTGCGCCCTGGCAATTTGCGCCTCAAGTATGGGCGACTGGATTGCAACAGCCAACTCTCCTCACTGCCGCACCTAATCAGATATTTATTCGCGGTGCCACACAACCTGACATGTTCATACAAAGTCCACAGCCGATACAAGCGCACAATGGTTAGTTGTGATTATTAGCATTTGTTATATTGTTTCTATAATAAATATTTAAATATATTAAAGTAGAATTTAACATTTTTTTTTGCTTATTTTATATCTGAACATTTTCTGTAATATATAATTACAATTTTCAGAGAAAACAATAAAAGTTTTTTCTGTATATTCTGTTGGGTTAGCTCTTGCAACGCAGCAACAGTTACAAGGTGTGCAACAGATCGCGACTGTTGGTGGGAAACCGAAAGTGATGGACATGCAACAACAGCAGTCGCAACAGGGTAAACCAAGCACAAGCAGTCAGCGGCCGTTGAGTATTCTACCATCATCATTGCAGGCTGTACAGACTGCCAATATACGCGCCGCCAGTTCCGTTTCCACACAAACAGTTCATGGAGTTCAAGCCACTATACAAGTACAGGTTACTATATGTACTACACTAACACCAATACGTAGCGTGATTTTTGTAAACACGATTTTTTTGACTAATTTTTGCAACTATATATATATAATAAACTTAACCACTCTCAACTTCTTGCTTTCATTATAATTTTTCAAATCAGTAATAAGAAATAATCACTAAGAATGAAAAGGCCAATCCGAGCCATTCCCAGGATGTTGTGCAGGAATAAGCGTGCATGTATATATATATATATATATATAT